CCTCCTCATTTTTGGTGGCTGTTCTGCAGTCACACTGTCACAGCAGACAGCCATGACATGTTCAGCCTTCCCTGCCCTCTCTCGTCTTCATAAGCAAGCATGCACTGAGCGCTCAGTACTGCTCCGGGGTCAAGGTTTCTCTAGTCAGTCTTGACTGTGGCTCCTTCTTAGTAGACTCTTCAGGAAAGGCTCATAGGAAAAATATTCTGAGTTCTTGCACGCGTGTATGTTTGTGCTCTGTGTACTTGAAAATAAATTCACTTGTGTACAACATTCTCGGATGTTGTTTCCCTTCTTTGAGTATCTTAACTATGCCACTCCATTTATTTCTTATATAAAGTATTGCTGCTAAAAGTCTGATGATAATCTAATTTTCTTTTCTTCACATATCACTTGTTCTTTATTGTACAGATGCTCAAAGGTATTTTCATTAGAATGTGTCTTTGTGTTGGTCAATCAGAGTCAATATTTTCAGGTATATGTTGCAATCCTTCATTACTTGAAGGTGGTTTTAATGTCTTTTAAAAATTTTTTCATGATTTTAGTTCTTTGCATTTGTTCTCTTCCTCTCCTTTGGTGTTCTTTCTCAAGGACCCATATTATCTATGTGTTGGATCTTCTTTGTCTATCTTCAACATTTGCTATGTTCTTTTGTATCTTTTTATTATATATCCCTGGTGGGTAGTGGTGCCACAATCCTTTCTCTTCCATTCTCTTCTCGGGATTTTGGACACACACACATATTGTATTTTTCAAGCCGCCAAGTCCAGGGCTCAAAATTCACAGTTGGCCATGTGGGATCCGCTGCCTTAACCACTATGCCACCAGTTGACCCTTTTAATTGCTTTCATTTCTAGCTTAACTTTAAAAATTTATGTCATTGGGAACCAGCAGTTAGCGTAATGGCTATGTCGCTGGGCTCCCACGTAGTCAACCACGGTTCGCGTCCTGGACCTGGTGGCTTAAACCTCACGCCGGGCGCGTGTGCATGCGTGCCCAAGATCCTGAGAGGAGAATGGAGGAGAAGGGATTGCGGCGTGACCATCCCCCCTGGGGGGTGATTTCTCGCTTTTTGAAAAATCTTTTGGGCAGCGCCAGCCCCCCAAGAAAAAAAAAAAAAAAAAAAAAAAAAAAACTCTCAAAAAAAAAAAGAAAAAAAAATTCTGTCATTTCATCTTTCATTTCTCGTAAAGCATCAATGATCTTTATTTGCTCTTATCTTTATTATAATTTAATTTTTATAGAACATTTGTCTCTCTCTCTCTTTTTTTTGTGGAGGTTTTTGCTATAGGGTGCGTGCACTTGCCAGAAAGACAGAGAGAGACAGAGAGACAGAAAGTGAGAAATCACCCCCCAGGGGGGATGGCCATGCTGCACTCCCTTCTCCTCCATTCTCCTCTCAGGATCTTGGGCACGCACGCACACATGCCCAGCGTGAGTTTAAGCCACCAGGTCTGGGATTCGAACCATGGTCAACTACATAGGAGCTCAGTGACATAGCCGTTACACTAACTGCTGGTCTCGAACATTTTTCTCTTTATTGATAATACCTCCTGAGTTTTGTCATCCTGTTTCTGAGTTTTTCTTTGTATATATCCTCTATAATTTTCTTAATGTATTTTAGCTTGTTTTGAAATAAAGGGTCCCACTACAGATCTGCTTTGTGAAGACGTCTTTTTGAGATCTTATTTTTTCCTTATTCTCTTCTTCCTATACTTTTGTGTGAGTTTTGACCTTCAACTTTTCCACCGTTCCAATTTATATATGAACTAACCTTACATGATTAGAAGGTGTGCTTGAGGACAGCGTTTCTGGTTTCATAGAGCTCCCCCTCTGTGGCTTCATGTGTGTTCCAAACATGGTGGCTTGCTTTCTGAGATGTTCTGGCTTTGTTCCCCTTCCCCAATTATTTCTCAGCCTTCTCTCTGTTTTATCTTCATTTATTACATCCTCTTCAATTTTGACTCTGCTCCCAAGAGTTTCTTTCTGGTATGGGACCTTGTCTAGAAAGGGAGCTGAGGTAAGTCATTTTCAAAACTTTGTGAGGTTTAGACTGCTCCAGCCGTGTCATACTTTCTCATTCTGGCCCTCTGCATTCACCTGCCGTCGAAGTGGGAAAGACCCCTCCCAATTTCAGCTTCAGGTCTTCAGTTCCTATTTTTCCAGTGAGCCTTGCTGGTTATTCTGAAGGTGTGCTGCTCTCAGTGACTTGCGTCTTAGGGCTCACGGGAAATCTTGTCATGTAGCGTTGGTACTAGTTGTCTGTAGGGCTTTGTTTTGCCATCTGTTCGGCTCTACGCTTTTATGTAGGGATTTGGGAGGACCTATCACCTCCTTTCAAGCTAAAAGATCTTAACTGGGAAAAAACAAGCACCTGTGGATGAAGTCAAAGTGTGCAGTACTGGAGGAATTTGGCTGATTTTGTTGGATTGGATTGTTTTAACTTAGAGTCATTCTTTTAAAAAATTAATTTTATTTATTAATATTTTTATTTTTAATTCGGAGAGAGAGAGAGAGAGAGAGAGAGAGAGAGAGAGA